TTATTGATGCTAGAAAACCAATGTTGATTTTGTCAATGGTTAACTAGTAAATCAATGTCACAAAGAAATAGCCATATCTAGTTTAACCGCTAGAAAGCATATCAATGAATTTTGAAACTGTATTTAGGTGATAAAAATGTTCCGATTATCCCTTGGTTTTCAAAAAAAAAAAAAATTGAAATTATTTGTAACCATATATATGGTAGGGAAAGTTGCATGTGTTTTGCGGTCTTAAACCATGTCATGTTGTTTCATTCCTATATTTTTCACACCTTTAACACTCATTAGTTTCGGGTATGCCACCAAATCTTCAACTTAAATATATTCAAATCAGTTGGTAGATTTTCTTCAATCCATTTAAAAATTAAAAAATGTCAGCAAACAGAAAGTATAGGTGTAATCAATGCTTGTGTCTCATCCTCCTTGAGACTTGTCCTTTGCCGCTTCTCGGATTCAATGTCAGTCACAGCCTATTATATCATCATCATGCTTCTTTTACAATCGGCCATATTATATAGCCTATATACCGTACGATAAGAGACCGTCTCATGCCTTTCTCGGTAACATATAGTGAGGCCATGATTATCCATGAGATTTCTATTAATTTTATATTTCAATACACCCCATTATTTCAATCAAAAACATTCTCTTTCTTCCTTTTACTCAAATTTTAATAATTTTATATTCCATGATACCACAAAAGTATCATGGATAATCATGCTCTGAGGGCCGGTCCTCATATAATAGTCATATACTAAGCTCGCTCTTCTTTTCGCTTATGAATTTTAGTTCTGTTGTGATTCGAACTCGTATTTGACCTAAGATCTACACGAAATTTGTTATCGCGACCTCACCAAACACTCACGAATCTCTCCGATGTCGATTGAGCAGAAAGTAAATCATACAAAGATAGAGGAAGAAGAAGAACACACAAAACGTTTACCCAGTTCGAGTCTTAATGTGAGATACTCTGGGCCTGGCGGTACCAAGCAATCCACTATAACAAGAGAATACAACCTCAAGATCCAAGAACAGATTCAACAATGTGTTGATCTATCTCTCTTGTTTTCTCTCTATTTTCCTCTAGCCTTTTCGACTTCTGCGTGTTAAGAGATAAACAAACCCTAGATCCCCTTTTACTCTGATGGATAGAGTAAACCGGTATAAACCTGAGCTGAACCAGCTTCCAATCAAAACACTTCTGATTTCCGGTTAAGCTCTTTATACCAGCTTTTGATTTAC